TGAATAAATACTCGAAGAAGAAGCCTTTTCAGCCACATTCTACTTATTATTCTTCCTGCTTTTCCTGTTCTGAATAACAAACTAAATACGTTAAACTATTCAGAAATTTATGCCTGCACATTCTTTATCTTTTAAAATAATATGACGTTAAATTTCTTATTTGATCTCAGATACTCTATGAACTAGCAATATATTACTTCCAAGAACTGGCTACCCATGAAGTGGGATGTATATCCTTGAATGAATGCATCAATAGCATCAGTGGTTCTCAAAGAACAACTCTTCTCGATCATATTGCAAATGTGGCAGCTTACCTGTCAAACGATCCTTATGGGTACTAATGAAATTATTTATTATGAAACTCAGAAATTATAATTCAATATTCATGCAACTGTGCTTGTCTGGAAAACTTTACCTTAGTGATGGTCCTTTTCCAGGAACTATGTTGTGCAGCATGTCCTCGCTCTTAGAAACGCATCTGTTACTGATAAAATACTGCATTGTCTCGAAGGTCAGTTTATACATCTTGCCTGGATAAAGGGAGGCAGTCACATTGTAGAGATGCATAGAATTTTCTGAACGCGGGATGCTATGTGTTATTAAAGAAATTTTAGACTGTCAAAACACACCTTCTCATCTTGCTCGAGATCAGTTTGGAAACTATGTTATTCAAAAAGCTCTAAAGATGACAAAGGTAATTCTGCTTCTACCTGCATAGCACAAATTCACAATGTAAAACTCTAATAAACAGTGCATCACAAGTAGCAATAATCACAACCACTTGCAAAACTATAGAAGCAAAAACCTAATTAGTTTAATTACAGTCAAGCACCAGATCATGTACCCCCTACCCGCTTTATTATTTGCAAGTGAACAGTAGATTAAGAGAACATTTGGCTAAGCCTAAAAGTTACTTAAAAAATTATTTTCGAAAACTAAGCAGAGATTCAAAAAAGTTACTTTAAAGCTCCAGACATGCTTCAACTGGATTTTTCTCTTTTCTCTGTTTGCAGCTTCGCGGTACTACATTGCTGTATAAATCTCTTTTTATGGCTCTTGAACGTCATATCTCTGATCTTGGATGCACCAAGTGTGGAAAAAAGGTTGCCGCTCTCCTTGAAGAAGAGACAAATTCATAGGCAAAACTTTCCATCTATCAAAAGGCCAATGTAGTTGGGGATGGAGGCATTAATATATTTGTATTGTTACTAATGCCAATAAAGTATTCTTTGTGAGTAGATGTAGCCCAGGGGACACAAAATGCAGATCTAAAGCTGTATGTTGGAGAGTTTGTCCAGTTTAATGTTGTCAACTGTTGAAAATCTATCCATCATATAAATACTTCAATATGAGCTAAGAAGTTATCATGTTTTCTATATTATGATTAATTTTGTTCATTTGTTCAAATTACTATCTAAAATATAGTTCCAATGTCTGATCAAACCCACTGAGAGAAAACAACTGAGGTCTCAATCAATGAGACATGGCAGAAGATGGTAAGAATATATCTAGTGGAGAATACGTGTATAATTTTTTTTACAGCATCTTCATAATTCAGAGGTTATGAAAGATCAACAGCATCTAATAAAAGTGTGAATATTATTAATGAAAACTGAAAGAGCACAAGAGGAATCTTATACATAGTTTTTAGCGTTGGCTCACAAGGATAATACAGGGTAGCTTACACATTACCACATTTGAGAATTTCAAATCCCCATGTAAAATATCATTGCCAGATTCTCTACTGAAATCAACTACAAGGGTTAAAAATTTGAGCCAACCTTCTGAGATTCAAGGACTGTCCTTGTACAGCCACTTTGACCACTTGCACACTCACAGTGCGCATACAGCACACTGGCATATATACTTCGGCGCCGGCAATAAGTTCTGTTTCAGTCTCCTCATTCTTCCTCAAAGCAAATAAATCACGCTCATCACATAGCTCGCATCGTGCAGTGAACTTGGTTGCAAAATTGGCCATCAGAATTATACCAAGCACTGCACCAAACCTCCTCCTGCCAATCCAGGGTGGGGTGGGAATGAGGGGAGCTCTATCAAATAACAGGTCTATAATAATCATACTGTACAAGTGGGGAATGCATAAAGACATCATGATAGATGATGTAGAATCAATATACTGATAAAGAAATAACCACAGTTAGAAGGACAGGAAGAAATAGGCAGCAAGAAAGGGGGAAGGAACGGAGAGAATGGAGAAAGAAGACCGGAGGAGAAGAGAACAAGAAGGGAAGGTGGGAGAAAGCAATGCTAATTTCATTCAATTCATCATCTTCATCAACTGAGTTATTCCAGATTAATTACAAACCTTTAAATAGAAGAAAACAACCCTAAAGCA